CCAAGGGCTCAAACTGCACCACCTTGATCTAGACATTATATTTAAAATTTGACAAAATTCTGGCCACATTAAATATTAACTCTCTGAATTTTAAAGTTGGCAGCAGAATACCTTCATTAATGAAGCTCAAGGCAGGTGAGGCCTCATGAAAAAACTACCCTACTCATGTTCAGAACCTAGGGAAGTCAATTTCTGCCCATACCCATTTACCCACCCGGCCCGCCTACCACTTAGCCCGCCCAAAACCCACTCATTTAGTTAAATGGGTCTAATTGGGCGGGTTCATTTTAATCCACACTAAACGGGTACTAAATGGGCGGGGTATGTTTGCCCATTTGCCCGCCCGCGTTCCCAAAAGATCCCAAAAGAAAAACCTAGAACAGTAGAACCCCCGTCAATCTCTTCCTCTTTCTCTCTAGCGGCTGAGTTCTCATTGATCCCTCCTCCTCCGGACCTCCGCCTCCTCCTCTGCCTCCGACGCCGCCTCCGACCCGGCATCACCCTCTCCCTCATCATCTCCCTCTGCGATCGCGGAGTCAATCTCGCAGCCCTAGCCGCCCTCGTCCGCGATCTCTCTTGGTCAGTTGATTTGTTTAAATTGTTCTTATTTTTTCTAAACTAGAGTCTATTCTAATCAAGGAGATTACATAAATAGATCGGCTATTCTAAACTACAGTCTATTCTAATCAAGTTTTTCTAAACTAGAGTCTATTCTTATTTTTTCATAAAGTTCATTTGATTTGTTTAAATTGTTCTTATTTTTTCTAAACTAGAGTCTATTCTAATCAAGTTTAGCATAATTTGCACAAAATTATGATAGATTCTTGAAGATATAATGCTATTCTTGAATTAAAATTGTGCCTTTGTCTATTATCTATATAGAAATGTAGTAAAAATAAAGTTTGCAATAGTGGGTATTTGAATTGCCTTCCATTAAACAAGGAGATTGCATAAATAGATCGGCTATTGCTCTGATATGAATTCAATACTATGTTTTCTATATATAAATTTATTTTGGAACTTTGTAAAAAAAAACCACACCTGGAGCTATAGTAAAAGCCGAGATGCAGTTGTATCTATCATAATTTTGTGCTGATGATGTGAGGTCATCTTGCGTACGAGCGAGATGCATTAGATAGAAGGCATTGGTGAACCAAACGACAACTTTTGTGCTGACTTTCTTGTAGGCTTGAGATAGTAGCTAAATTATTTGTATTCTACCTGGAGTTGAACAGGTATTTGGGCCATACATCCTTAAAGTTGGAACACCGTGGAGTTGTTTAGATATAACCAGCTAGAATCTCACTGACCCATCAATCCTGCTCCATATCTTATGTATAACATACTTCTCATATCTTTTGAAAATGCAAAAAGAGAGAATAAATGGGATTAGGTGGACAAAGATGAGATTATTGATCAGCAATAGCATTTATTTAAAAAGCTTGTTGCTCCCCTTGTCCCCTGTCGACCATAATTATCTCCTTCTACAAGTTCTCATCAGATTCCTTTTGACCTCCACAAATCATGTGAACTAATGCAGCAATTAGTTCATTGCATTTCACCATTACTGATTCCCATGCTCTCATGGTTCCTTGGATCTTGTCAGTAGAGAGTAACTGTGCGCAGTAATCAGTAATGCCTCATAGATGACCATCCCAGCATTCAGTAGAAATCTTCATTCAACTACTTATATTATTTCTTTTATTTTTTATTTTTAATTTAATGACCCCTTATGACATCAATTTGTGAGCACACCCTTTTTCATTTTATAGTTTGTCAATCAATGTACGTGATTTTTAGTTGGTGCAAAAAAAGACAGTAAAATCACTGAGGAAACTAGACAGTAAAATCAGGGTCTGCTCCATCTGGTTTTCCTTTTGAGAGGCACTTTGGTTACTTTCCTGAATCACCAGATGTTTCTTTCAAAAGTCCAGTTTCCTTGGGAGGTGTTGGAACAAGCCAAAATGAGGGAAATTTAATGATGAATTATGTTCGCCGTCCAATAAATCCTGCGGCTTCACTATCAGGAAACATCTCCGAGACTGGTTCACCAAATTTCAGAATGTTGCCATCACAGAGAATGGGGCCTGGCTTTTATGGGAGTGTGCCATATCCTGGCTATGGAACCATTGGCTTTGAGGGTTTAACTGAACAAAGCCGTAGTCGGCGAGTTGATAACGGCGGGAGCCAACTTGATAGCAAGAAGCAATATCAGCTTGATTTGGAAAAGATTGTCAGTGGAGAAGATACAAGATGCTGCTGGCAGCTATTGATGAAACTCACAAGGGGACTTATGATTTTGTTTACCTGCCAATAGATTTTAAGGTGATGAGAATTATGTTCATTTCTTCCTGACAGTTGATCATACATATAATTGTTTAATAACAGTTAATCTTGAATATGCCATATCTTGTTCTTGACCTCAGCTATTTGTTGGCCATATGTTTGTGCAGAATAAATGCAATGTCGGTTATGCTTTCATAAACATGGTGTCTTATTCTCTCATTATCTCATTCTACCAGGTAATTTCCTCAATCCCATCTTGTCTTCTAGACTCCAGTGAGAGTTGCTAGTGATGTAGCATGAACCAGCATTTTTTCACCAATAAAACATAAATCTTGAAACCCCCAACAGTGTTTTATTTGTTATAGTGAATCTTAACTTTTATCTATCTGCATTGCTCAAATTGAAAGCTTTATTAAACACTTCTATACTTATTAGACATTCAATGGGAAGAAGTGGGAGAAATTTAACAGCGAGAAAGTTGCATCTCTGGCATATGCACGAATCCAGGGCAAAGCAGCACTTGTCAGTCATTTCCAGAATTCAAGCTTGATGAATGAGGATAAACGGTGCCGTCCTATTCTGTTCCAAGGATCAGAAGCTGCTGATCAGGTAAAATAAGTGAAAAAGATGCTGAAATTTACATAAATTTCATAGTTATAGTTTAAAATACAATGAGTCACAAATGCATGTGAAAGTTTGGCTTGTGTTTGAATGTCCAATTTTACTATGCCTTAGATGTTTGTTACACAACCCATGACACGAAGATGCACATAGTAATACAATTTTGTGATATTCACATAAAAGATGCATATGCTTTAGTCCAAAACTAAAGTTTCACATATGACCCTCAACTTGGTGATCTTGGCATTTATGCTTGAGTACCAGTTTTCCAGTTTTCAATGTATAAAAGTAATTCCAGAAATTAGTGATTTTCCTGCTGTTTCCAGAAGTTAGTAAATTCAAAATCAATTGAGATGTTTGACCTGTTCAACAGAGGATATAATGCCAACTAGGAGTGACAATAGGATTATGATTAATGTAGCAAAGAGGACACGAGGTAGGCCTAAGATAAATTTGGTGGAAGCAATTAATAAGGATATGGTGATGGTTAAAATAGGAGATAGCTTGACTTAGCAATCTCATTAATAGTTTATATATGAAATGTTCTTATGACTCATGCCGCGTAACACTTAACTAAGTTGATAAACAGGGTCATTCAACTGCTGCTGCAGCAAATGTTCGAAAATTGAACAATTAACCAAGTAAAGTTTCATGATTTTTAGTTGCATTTGGAGCTGAAGTTGCTGTTGTTGCTGATGCAATTCTTGTTGCTGCTGCAGCTGTTGAAGATGATGTTGCTCCTCTAACTGAAGTTTCAAAAATTGCTCCAACTCTGGCATATACTGGTTAACTGACTGTTGATGCTGCAGAGAACCTTGAATTTGTTCAATAAATGGCACAGACGAATTCTGACGAGAAAGCAAGCGCTGCTGCTGAAGCTGCTGTTGCTGTTGCTGCTGCTGCTGCTGCTGCTGCTGCTGCTGGGTCTCCCATGGCTTTGTTGGTGTTGTTGAATCCTGCAGCTTATGTGGTTCCGTCTATAATATAACGGTGGGATTCATATCTCTCCACCACAAATACCTATATAGGGAGAGATCGTTTCCTTTATCAACATCACCTGATTTGTTTAGCTAATAATTGTTTTTTTAATTTGAGTATCAAATGTTAATAAGGTAACTCATGGATACTAGAATTTTAGAATGAATCATGTATTACCACTCATTAACAATTTTGAAAGTAGTGCACTATTCGACATACACGAAGCATTTAGTTAAATTTTAGAGGGTGTGTCCGTCAATATGAAACTTGACAGCATTTATCTTTGTTTATGTTCCTATCTTTGTTAGTATTTTATCAAAAGCCCCAACAAGTTTGCAAAAAGCTTCCAAAAAGTTTGCAAAAAGCCCACAATAGTTTAAAAAAAACCCCTAAAAGTTTACAAAAAACACCCCAAAAGTATTATACATATATATGTACTATAGTTAAATGGGCAAATGGGCGACCCGTTTATTAAATGGGCGGGCAAAAACCCGCCCATTTAAATAATGTTAAATGGGCCATAAATAGGTAAATGGGCAAAATATGCCCGCCCATTTATGACCCGCCCATTTAAACTCATACCCACCCATTTAACATCTCTATCAGAACCAGCTACAACCTACAAGTGATATTTGCTTTGAAAATTTGTCGATACTATTTATGCCGGGAGTTACATAAACCGACTGTCCACGTACGGTTCGTCCTGACGGAAATGCGCTCGCCAAACACCAGCAATCTTCTACGAATCTTTTCACGCGTGAACCGGGCCCACCTTTGACTCGCAAAATGGGCCCACCGCACATCTAATAAATTCCTCCCCGATTGCGTGAGGGCCAAGCACACGTGGCGACTCGTCACCGCTCCCTGCGCGTCGCCGGACCGCGTGCCATGCGCGTCATTTTAAGCTTTTAAAAGGTAAACCGGAATAGAACGTAACTCATCGCAGCACCGCCATCGTTTAGTGGGGCCCACATAAGCCACGTCACCACGTTCGGTCTTAATCATTGGTCTCTCTAATCCCCGAAATATCTGACGAATCCTTTATAAATTCGAGCCTCTCTACCCTCTCCCTTATTTCCATCGAAGAGTTTTTTTCCCCCCTTCATTTCGATCGGTGAGAAATTTTCTCCCCTCCTTTATTTTTTGTAACTTTTATTTATTCCGCAGAATAATTCCTCGTTGATTTTCTCTTTTGCTGTAGATTTTGATTGTTCTTGCTGCTATAATTTATTTTCTTTGATAAATTTTGACGTTTTATGCAATTGATGGTGTTCTTGTAATTTTAGGTTTTTGGGTTTTCCTTTTTGGTATTTTGAGAAATTGGGATTTGATGTCATAGTTAAATGTTTGAATCTTTTCGTAGCAATTGATGAATGATTGTAATTTTAGGTTTTTGAGTTTGTCTTTTTGGTATTTTGATAAATTAGGGTGATGTCATAATTTGTGTCCCAAAGTTGTCATCTTTTTTGCATATTAATTTTTGAAGGAAGGAAGGGGGGAAAAACAAACGAACAATTTGATAGTTAGTTGCAGGAAGATAAAAATTTACGAACAGAAAGCTTGTGTTAAACTAACTTTTAAAAAAACATATACCAATAATTTTATTCTGAAGCTAACCTTGATCATTGAAACTTCACCAATTTCTGTAAAGGTGAATTCAATGTGAAGTATATAGATGCAAGTGTTTAAGTTGGGAAAAGATAAAATGTTCTCGTACCCGTATGTTCTACTATATGGACAATTGGAGATGGGTTTGTAGTTTAGTATTGCATTGTATCTCATGTTACTCTGCCGGAAGTTTAAACTTGCATTGCTTTTACTTCGCATAATCGTATTACCGTGCATCCACCGTATTGGACATTTCGAATGGCTTATCCTTATTTGTCATTATGTTACCTCTGCATGATAATCTCCTTTGTCAAATGCCTTCAAATAAAGACACCAAAAGATTACGTTATGTTAATTGTTTCCCTACCGCCGTAAGGGTACTATTCTGTGTATTGTGGTCATTTCAAGAGGCAGTTTCTCATTCGTTTATATATTTATCTTAATGCATATGTTCTGTATTACAAAGCAAATCCTTTTTCTCTGAGAGGTTTTCCATGTAACCAAAATGCTTCTATGGGACTCATGATTGGTTTTATATGTTGTTCGCTTGACACTCATCTACTTAATTAAATTTGATTACAGGTTGTCTAGCATTACAATACACATCTACTTATAAGAAATTAGTGGCTTTTGTTTTAATTTCCATTTAATTTTTCTTAACATTATAATGCAATAATTTCATTTCATTATCCTGAGACCTTTGTGATTTATTATCAACAGATACATGAATATATAGTTCCCGCAATAGTTGTTGTATTCACACAAACATGCAACTTTATTTTTTGTTTGCTTTAAATTTGTAACCTTCCGTCACTCTTATTTGTGCAAAAATCAGCTCAGTGAGAAAGAATGGGAGGTGGAACGGATAAGCACGAGGAGTCCCATGACAAAGGATTTCTTTCGAATCTTGTAGGACAAGTAGGAGGACATCACTCTGGATATCCACCTGGTGCCTACCCCCCGGCACCTGGTACTTATCCTCCTCAGCAAGGATACCCTCCTCAGCATGGTTACCCTCCTCAGCAAGGATACCCTCCTCAGCAAGGATACCCTCCACAAGGGTATCCCCCTCAAGGGTACCCCCCTCAACAAGGCTATCCACCACAAGGATATTCTGGACATGGTGCTCCTCACCAGGGTATGCTTAAATTAATACCACTTGAATTATGGGTTTTTCCCTTGATATATCATTATCGTATGACATGCCACTATTTGATATTATCATTGGTTGTGTATCACTATATGATAAATCACCAACAGGCGACATCAAAGCTAATATCTTGATGCTAGTTATTTCTAATCTACCTCTGCAATTACATGGTGAATAAAATATTCCCCAAAATAACATATTCATGTTGTTATTTTTATTGCACATTCTACATTTGCTGATATGTTTTTCTACTAAGAATATACCACACTAGGGCCTACAAATAACTAAATAACCAGAGGTTATGTGCATTTATTACTGTTGTCCCATCTCGTTGCCTAGTCTTTAAATAGGGGTGTTAAATGGGTGAGTTTGGATATTAAATGGATGGGCCATAAATGGGTGGGCATGTTTTGGCCATTTACCCATTTATGGCCCATTTAATATTTTCTAAATGGGCGGGTTTTTGCCAACCCATTTAATAAACGGGCCACTCATTTGCCCATTTAACTATAGTAGCTATATATATTACACTTTTGGGGTGTTTGTTGTAAACTATTTGGGGGCTTCTTGTAAACTATTGGGGCTTTTTGCAAAAAATTAGGGGCTTTTTGCAAATATTTTGGGGTTTTTTTGCAAATATTTTGGGTTTTTTGCAAATATTTTGGGGGCTCTTTGCAAACTTTTGGGGGTCTTTTGTAAACTTTTTGAGTATTTTTTGCAAACTTTTTGGGGTTTTTACAACCTTTTGAGGTTTTTTTTTGCAAAATTTCTATGAGTTTTTTTCCTAAATATAATCCTTCAAGAATTAGAAACTAGAAATAGAATTCTTACTCAACAAATGAGTCAGAAGAATTTTATTGAAAAATATACAGATGATCTAATACATAATATATTAGGCTCTGTGTAACATATATATTTACAGTAAGGAACAAAAATGTAGAGTTTAATCCAAACTTCAAGAACTAAAATCAGCAATCGCTACTCATGACCTGGTGCTAGGTTTGTGATAAAATACTAATAAATACAACAATATATCACATGAGAAGATGATATAAATCACATTGGCACAAACTTTGCATTACTGTTGCTTGATTTAAGTTCATAAACAATTTCAACTAACTTTGTTTGCGAATACAAAAGATGCTATCATAGTACTAATAAATTGTGATACATTTGCATGTCATATGTCTAAAAAAAGTTAAAACAAGCAGTATAATCAATACTAATAGATTGCGACACACTGCTCAGCAGCTTCCACAAAGTCACATTGCAAAAAAAAGATAGTTAAATAAATTTAGGAGCCATTGATATATAAAGAAACAAAAATAACTACAAAAATGACTTGCACAGAAATAAGAAAAGATGCCAACAACTTAATAAAAGGGGACCTCGTAGCCCAAGAGGAAGATTTTAATAAATCTTCAATATAAAGTAGTAAAATAAAAAAATTGCCTAGTCTCATTTTAGTTTATCTAGCCATGCACCAGGACTCAACCATCTATCAACTGTACAGTGTATTAATTTGTGAGCAAGTCTTCTACAAAAAACCTTAACAGATGCAATTGTTCTGTTGAGTATTTGAATTTCTTCATGAGAAAAATCAAATATATCTGAAATAAGTATGCTACTGTGATAAATGATAGATTATGTTATCAGTACTGCAAAATTAATATTTTTCTCTGAATCATTTTTCTTACAAATAAGATTAAAGAAAATGCATGTTTAATTTTAACTTTTGTACAGTTGTGAAATTTAACTTATTACTTATAGAAATTTATATCTATATCGGCAATAGAATGATAAATTTATTAATATGAAGATGTTCGACACAAGTGAATGGATAACCATGCAATGCAACTACTCTAGCAAGCATTTCTATATATTTTTCTTGATTTAGTGGCATGTTTTTCCTTGAAGAATCAGCCTCATCTAAGTTCCTTTTCGGACAAGAATTCATATGCCTCAATATTGTCTTAGTGTTGGGACTATCAACATAAATATGATTACACATATTACATTGAATTTTAGTTTTCTCATCATTATCGGTAGGTAACTTTGTAAAGTGATCCCAACTTTTGATGTTTGTCTTCTTTTACGTTTAGAAGTACTCTCATCATCACTACCATCATCATGGATGCTA